ATTTTATTTATTTATTTGACATAGAGAGACACAGCGAGAGAGAGAACATAGGCAGAGGGAGTGGGAAAGGGAGAAGCAGGCTTCCCGCGGAGCGGGGAGCCTGATGTGGGGCTCAATCCCAGGACCCTGGGATCATGACCTGAGCCAAAGACAGACGCTTAACGACTGAGCCACTCAGGCGCCCCTTACTTTTATTTTAAAGATTTATTTATTTATTTGAGAGAGTGAGCGAGAGAGAAGGAGCAGGGGGAGGGGAAGAAAGAGAGAGAAGCAGACTCCCCGCTGAGCAGGGAGCCTGACTCGGGGCTCGATCCCAGGACTCTGGTCTGGGATCACGACCTGAGCCAGAGGCAGACACTTAACCGACTGAGCCACCCAGGCACCCAAATTCTGGATTGCTTAAACCTGCCCTCTTCCGGGAAGCCTCCCCAGCTGCTCTATGATATAGTGATCTGGTGACGTTCTCTTCCCACCCCAGAGTGTGATGGCCTAAGTCTGTCTGTGGAGATGAGCCAGGTTTCCCCTCCCCTCAGAAGGGCACTCCCCAGGAATAAGACCACAGCCTGGCCACATAAAGGAGGCCTTAGGAAGGAACTATTACAGGTCTGACTGTCCTCCTTGAAAACCTTGTTACCACTTCTGTAACTAGCTCAATGGAGTAGAGGATGGGAGAAAATGCTGAAAGCACAAAGGAAAGGGACAAAGAATACCAATACTTGAGAAAAAAGATAATGATCAAGGACTAGGGCCAACTGTGTCCTCCCTCTTGGGCAACTGAGCTCAGACCTGTAGCCAGGGTGATGATTTGCAAACACCTAACACAGGCGTTCTGAGGGATGAGCTACTGGGCTATCGGTGAGGTCCTGGGAAGGGGTAAAGGAGCTGGCTCTAACCTGACAGAGCTAGGACCCTAGAGGAGTGAGTGATGAAAAAGAACAGGTAGAGATGTGGCTTATGTCCCTCCTCTCCCACTTACTGACCATGTTACTCTGGGCAAATGCGGTAACTTCACTGAGCTTTACTTTATCTGTCAAGTAGGGGTCAGAATCATTCCTACCTGGCATAGCTCCTATGAATTAAGTGAGACCACAGCACAAAGTAGGGCACAAAGTAAGTCCTCAGCAAATATTAGCTGCCCTATCTAACATCACGGTTATTATATCTTACTGTTGCTCCTTCTTTTCAAATACCCACAGAGATTCTAAAGCCACATGCCCACTCCTGGTCCTGGAAAGGCTGGGAATGGGCATATATTATATAAGGAGAGCCTCAGAGTACCAGGCATCTGGATTGCAAGTTGAGCCCTGATCTGGATCCCTCTGCATCTGATGGTGTCTCAACCCAACTTCCTAAAGGCTTAAGTTTCCAAGGACCACTGGTCTCCTCTGCATAGGGAGCCTTGCATAAAAACATGAGAAACACCCCCTCACGCCTCTCTTTCTCTTAATGACCTGTATGGAAATCTACGGTCCAGGAATTCACATAAATTTCCAATTCTGCAGGGCGCCTGGGTGGCTCAGTCGTTAAGCGTCTGCCTTCGGCTCAGGTCATGATCCCAGGGTCCTAGGATCGAGCCCCGTGTCGGGCTCCCTGCTCCGTGGGAAGCCTGCTTCTCCCTCTCCCACTTCCCCTGCTTGTGTTCCCTCTCTCGCTGTCAAATAAATAAATAAAATGTTAAAAAAAATTTTTCCAATTCTGCTTAAATCTGTAGCTCTAAGAAAATGAATCACACACAACTCCCAACTCCTGGCCATATAACTACACATTTTCTTGGCCTGGGACTCTCTGCTCTGAACTTCCTAGAGAACCCCTGTTCGGGTGCCCAGGGATTCATCCATTTATGCAGAGTCCTCAATTCCTGCTATGCCCATAGTACTGGCCAAAACAGAACAGTGATACTACACAACAGTAATAACAGATAGCATTTATTGAGAATTTACTATATGCCAGACGCTATGCTAAGAACCTCACCTCAACCCTCTTTTAACATCTCCATCTTATAGATGAGGGACTAGATTCAGAAGGTGGAATCACTTCCCCAAAGTGACAGAGCCAAGATCTGAACCCTGGTCTGTCAGCCTCCAGAACTGGGAGGAACTTTTACCTGTAACACTGTACTAGTGCTCCAATGCCAAGTCTCTTGTTCTCCATCCCATCGCCGTCCCTGGCTTCCCAGATCTCATGCAGGACTTGCCACTCAAGGCTAGGAAACCTCATCTCCTCCATCTTCTTTTTTTTTTAAAGATTTTATTTATTTACTTGAGAGAGAGAGAGCACAAGCAGGGGGAGCACAGGCAGAGAGAGAAGGAGAAACAGCTTCCCCACTGAGCAGGGAGCCCAACATGGGGCTCCATCCCAAGATCCTGGGATCATGACCTGAGCCGAAGGCAGATGCTTCACTGACTGAGCCACCCAGGTGCCCCCATAAGCCACTTTTTCTCCTGCCCAGTCACACCCTTCTAGGTGGCCTTCCCTGATATCAGGACATCTGACCCTTCTGAGCTGCTTGACTGGCCATGTACTAGGATGACTTCACTGGTATCCCTAAAGTCTTCCTGGAACTTCTGTTCCATCAGCTACCGCTGTGTTCTGGCTTCCTTGTTAGGCTGGGGTGTCTGAGAGCAGGGGTTTTTCCCCTATCAGACCAGGGCCTAGAGGGATCTCTCTGCTCGGTCTTGAGCCCTAAGGGCAGAGACTCACTCTTCCCCTCAGACCTGTCCCTGCCTAGGGTAGGGTACAGGGTGATGGGACAGGAAGGTAGAAGCTACCACGGCTCCCTTCTGTCCTCTAGGCTATGCAGAAGCCTCTCTTCAGAGAGTCCTAGTGCTGCCCTCCCTTGTCGTACCTTTCATGCCACTGCCGTCCTCCTGGAAAGTGTTCCGGCTGGAGCCCTGCTCCTCCGTCTGCTCACTGCCAGAGGAGGCCACGCTGCTCTGGGGCGAGAGGGGTGCGTGGTCGGGCGTGGTGAAAGCAGCCCGGGCCCCGAGCTCCTCCGGACTCGGCCACTCACCAGGGGCCTGGGGGCTCGTGGGGATGAGCGACATGGAGCGCTTCAGCGGGCTGGGGTGAATTTGGCAGGGGAGACCTGGCCAGAAGGGGAGAGGCAAGAGGTCAGGTTTGGAGATCTGACCACAGGAGATTATGCCCCCTGGTTGGTGCCACGGACGGCAGCTCGGCCCCAGAATCCAACAACAGGAAGGGACCCTGGGGTCTGAGGGGAACCACCTACAAGATATTGCTCGTTCCCTCATTCCTCCCCACACCCAACCCATCAGCAAGCTCTCAACCACATCTCTGGGTCTCCTCACTTTCTCTTCCAGCACCCTGGTCTGTAACTGGTGTCCCTTGCTGGAATTACTGCTACAGCCTCCTTACTGGTTTCTTGCCTTCATTCTTGCCTCCTACAGTCCATTTACCTCACAGAAGTCATGTTGATCCTTCTAAAAATGCAAACCTGACCAAGTTAGCCCCTGCTTTAAATCCCACCTATGACTTCCCTTCACGCTGAGGATAAAACTCAAACTTCTGCACACACCTACAAAGCCCTGTGGGACCTGGGACCTGGGCCCTGCTCATCTCTAACCTCTCACCTCCCCCAACTCACCCTTCAGTTCAAGCCTTTTTAGCTTTTGCTTCCCCACCAACCCTCATTTATTCCTGGAACACTCAAGCTGTCCAGCCTCAGGACTTTTGCATTTGTTCTTTCTTCTTGTCTTCCTGATCTTAGCAGCTGGCTCCCTAAAGTCTCATCTCCAGCAAGCATCATCTCTTCCAAGTAGCTGGCCCCAACCAATCTTGGTTACTCTATCATATATATGACTCTTACTTATCTTCCTTATAACACCTACCATACCTGGAGTGATTTTACCTAGTTATTTGTGTACATGCTTATGAACGGTACATGCCTGCTACAATACAAGATCTGTGACAGCAGGGACTTGTCCTGTCTTAAAGATCACTGTATCCTCAGTAATTATAGTGGGGTCTGGCCCAGAGGAGCTGCTTCATTAGTATTTGTAAAGTAAATGAATTAATGAAATACATAAACTGCTTCTTCAACATCCCTGTCATTGGGCCTCACCACCTCCCAAAGATTTTTCCTGTACTGAGCTAAAATCAGCCACCCATGAGGCCCAGTGACTCAGGGTGAATCCAGGGCTTTTTCCACAAGATGTTTCATACTCTCCATTCATCCCATTCCTGAGGTAGGAAAAGGGTTCCAACTTGATTTTAACCATCCTCAGGACAAGGCAGGTTCCACGAGCTTCCAGACCTTTCCATGTAACTACTCCTCTGCCTAACTCACCTGCTCTTCCACCCTGCCCTCCCAGCCACCTCAGCCTTCACTCTTCAGTCAAGTGTTAGCTCTTCTGTGACTCCTTCCTCTGCACTCCCTGGGGCCCTGTGTTACTGCCTCAAACCTAGCATTTACTACTTTCATCACCCGCCCGCCTCCTGTACTGGACTCTGGGCTCACGTATATTGGGGCCACATTCTGGGGGAGTCTTGAAGGATAGGGTGAAGCTTTTCAATTTCAAGCAGTTGCAGGAATAGCAACCCCGCTTTTGGCTTCATAAAAGCCCAAAGGAGGGCACCCATGGTCCATCCTAAGGGTGCTAAGGGCGCCTCTGAGCTTGACACAGGGAATTCAAAAGTACCCAAAGTCAAATAAAAAGACAAGGCCACAAAGCCAAAAAGCCTCACCTGGGAAGGTGAGAACACCAAGGCTCAGGGAACAGAAGCACTTTGCCCCAGGTGCCAGAGGGAGTTGGGAGGCAGCAACGGAAGAACCCTAGCCTTGTTTCTGATGGAAAGGCTGAGATTCCTGCCAGTGCTCCACCGAAACTCAACCCAGAAAGGACAATCAGCCTGGTACAGACCCTAAACCACCTTCCTCCATCTGTGACAAAATCTATGCTCCTAGCCAGGAAGTCACCTGAAGGACAGGGCAGTGCAGTGATCCATTCCCTCAGGCCAGCCTCCACGTCTGCCTGTGACCTCTGGGGTCCTCTTCTCACGGCTTCTTCCAAGTGTCTGGATTCCCAGAAAACGGCACCGTTTGGGCCCCATGGGAATCAGTATAGACTTTTTTTTTTTTTCTTTTGCCTGTCTTGGTGCCTATGGCCTCCTCCTCTTCCCTTCTCAGCCAAGAAGGAGGCAGGCAAGGCTGAGAGGGCAGGAAATTATCCTGATTGGAGTGATCGTGCAGTTCCTGAGGAGCCCTGCTTGGCCAGGCACTGGGGTGGAGGCCGGCCACAGCATGAGAGCTATAAAAACAGGAATGCCGGAGATCCAGGGCCTCACGCTCTCCAAGAAACCCTGGTCTGTCCTTGGCAGCACCCCAAACCCACCCTGCCTGCCCTTACAGGCCAATCCTTGCTCCCCACTCAAAAATATTTTAATGGTTTCCTGTTTCCTGCAACTGCTTGAAGTTGAAAAGCTTCACCCTAACCTTCAAGGCCCCCCAGAACGTGGCCCTAATATACTGAGATTTGGGAGTCAAGACAGACCTGCACTAAAATTCTGGCTCTGCCACCTATTAACTTTATGATCCTGGGCAAGTCACTCTGTCTGCCCCCTCTGCCTCCATTTCCAAGTAATGTCCTTGGCACAGGGGTAGGCACACAGTAAACATGAATGTCTGCTACTGCTATTACTCATTTAAATCCTTGCATCTCTCCATCCCAGCCAGACCTCTCTGCATACTCCAATTTGCCACCCCTGTGACTTCATTTCATGCTGTGTCCTCTACCTAGAATGCCCAGTTCCTTTCTCTCTTCTAGTTCAACCCTTCTGACATTGTTCCAGCTCAGTTAGTCCTTTAATAGCTGCTGTCCCCATTGGAGGGAGGAAGAAATGTATGGGCACCCTGCATGGGTAAACCCTCCCCTTGATGAGGTCTGAGCATCTATGGCAGGGTCACTTTTAGGTGGAGGCAATGTAGCACAGTAGTTAAAAGTATGAGCTGTGGAGCCAGACTGCCTGGATTTAAATTCTGGCTATACTACCTGGGGCAGGTGACTTTTCTGTGACTCAGCCGAAGAATTTATATGTGTAAAGTTCTCAGAACAGCTTTTGAAAAAGACTGAATGCTCAATAATCTTAGCTAGATTTATCCTTATTAATATATTTTCCCAATTTGGACCCAGAAACTGTGATGCTCTGAGACTATAAAACAAGGTCTAACACACTCTGGGTTGCTAGAGATGCCAGAAATGCTCTCCTATCCCTCTATTTTCCTTGATTCTTACCAGCACCTGAGAGGGAGGCAGGTGGCCAGGACATCCGTATGAAACTGGGGGAAGAAAGAGGCTCAGGGCATCAAGGATGTGTACCAGGTGCCAACAGGAGACCCAGGTTCGCCCCACCCGCTGGATGGATGACATTTCACTGCCACTCATTCTTGGCTTGCTTTAACCACTACCAGCCAGCCAAAGGGGACCAGCCATGCTGAGGTTAAATCTTGGAAACCTCTCACACCTGGAGTCAGGTAATATTACCTCACCAAGCCTTGGAAATGCCACTTTCACCTATCCTGTTCATTTCAACTAATATTTCAAAAACTCACTAGAATACCAGCTCCTCTTGCTCACCCCAGCCCCTGGGGTGCTGACCAACACAGCCCTTTCCAGACCGCTTAGTTGGAGAACAGCGTAGTTGCCAGGGGCAGACTCTGGTGTCAGACTGCCTGGGTCTGAACTTTGGACCATTCTACTACTTGTTCTGTGTATAACCTTGAATACATGACTTCACCTCTGAGTCTCAATGTCATCTCTAGAATGGGGCGGATGATAAAGTTGTGACAAGGATTAAATGAGATCATGTCAGAAAAGCGCTTACAGCACAGTCAACGCTCAACAATGTTACCTACTATTATTAATACCTTATAGTGTGAATTACATCTTACATAAACAGGCTTACAAACACAGATTTCTCAGAAACAATGCTGTTGGCTGAAGCCATATGCACAAATCCACAATGTCTAAGCTGGAAGGGACCTTAGATTATGGCCAGTGACTCAATGCTTTCAGAGGTCCTGCAGGTATCAGACATGCCCAAAGGAAGGTGGCAGGGGCACCGGCCAACTGGGGCACATGTGCAGGATTTTGCGGGCGGAGGGAACGACACAATATTCAGCTCCATCTTACCGTTGCTACAGGATTATAGGACTTGAGTTGTCAGATTTTTTTTTAACTTTTAAGAGAAACTGAAATCTGGATTTTTAGGGGAAAATTCCCAATTTCTTACATCACCACATTTATTTTAACACATAACAAGACAAAACCAAAGATTCACTTTGGGCTCAACAAGACATGTCTGCAGGTCAGATATGTCTCCCAGAACGCCAGTTCACAAGCTCTGCACGGCCTCATAAAGCTGAGGTCCAGAGAGATTATGTGACTTGCCCAAGGCCGAACAGCGAGTCAAGAGACCAGTTTGACCTTTTTCAAGTAGGCATGGCCTCCTGGAACCCCCATTCCCTCACCTGCATTTGCGTTGCTCCCAATACTGTTGATGGCTGGCGGCACTGAGCTGGATGGGTGGAAGGGCACGTGTCCATTTTCCCGGGGTGGCTTGTCCTGCCAGCCTGGCCCTGCCTCCCCAGGGCCCAGCTCTGCAGGGCTCCCCCACTCATCTGAGCCTTGGCGTGAGTGGTACGTGGGCTCAGGCCGGGTGCGGAAGCCGCTAGCCAGCCGCTCTTCCAGGTGGCTCAGCCAGAGGGCCAGTGCGTTGCGGTCCTCCAGTGTGGTGGCTGGGTGGATGAGGGCATAAGAGAGCAGCTGGCGGCTCTCCTCGATGAAGGCATTGCTCTCGATCGAGTAGGCCAGCACTTTCTGCAGCAGCCTCATGTACTCCGACTTGGCCTCCGTGTTGCCTGGCTGAAGCAGGGGCAGGTGGGACAGCAGGAGGGATACCACCTTCTCTTTGGACTCCTGCTGCCATTGGCTGACGATGGCTGCAGAGGGGACAAAAGGAAATGTCAGGGGAGCCAGGGAGACCCAGGAGTGCTACCTATAGTCTGCTCCCTCAGCTCCAATGTCCTCTCCCTTCTCCTTTCATGACCCCTAAGCTTGTCCTTCGTATCGGTGAGACCCAATGCACTCACCCTACTGCCAGAGTAATTTTTCCTGGTTCCATCCCTCCTACTTTCCAACACCTGCTGTGGCTCCCCATCAGCCAAATCTGCTTGCTACTCTGGAATCTGAGCTCCTCCTGCTGTCCCCAGGCCTGCCCTTCTTGCTGTATCCCTGTTCATTATCTTCACAGCCTCTACCCACACCCCGTTTCCCCTATCAAAAGAGCCTCCTTCCTGAAAGGAGATGACAGTGGAATATGATGGTTACCAGTTTGCGCTCTGGAATCAGACAGTCTGGACTCTCCAATTCACTAGCTAGACCCTGGGCAAGTCACCTTGAACCTCACTGAGCAATGATTTCCTCACCTGAAAACTTTTGGAGATAATTACAGTACCCAATTCACAGTGTTGTCCTGAGATCCAATGAGCTAATAAAGAATGGAAAGTGGCCAGGCATATAGAAAGAATATATTTACTAAATGCTTGCTGTTTTTTTTTTTTTTTTTTTTTAAAGATTTTATTTATTTATTTGACAGAGAGAAACACAGCGAGAGAGGGAACACAAGCAGGGGGAGTGGGAGAGGGAGAAGCAGGCTCCCCGCTGAGCAGAGAGCCCGATGCGGGGCTCGATCCCAGGACCCTGGGATCATGACCTGAGCTGAAGGCAGACGCTTAACGACTGAGCCACCCAGGCGCCCCTCTGTGATCACTTCTCTCTCCAGTCATGCTCTGCTCTAATCCTGGCGGGATTCCTGCCAACTCTGATATACACCATAGCCCTCCTTCTCTTCTCTCATTCTAAGTTTTCCCTACCTCTCCATCCAAGTACCAGCTTGTTATATTCTCACCATCTGACATGGGACTATGGCCGAAGGCCTTGATTCATATTTTCATACAGCAGTGAATTCATTCCTCATCAATTCTCAGCCCTGGCTAGGCATTACCCCTCAAATCCCAATGCAAACCATCTGGGATGGGCCTCTGTTCTTGGAATAAAGTGTACCATGTCTTTCAAGGCAATGTGGTAAGAGGGAATATTTTATTTATTTATTATTTAAAAATGTTACTTATTTATTTGAGAGACGGAGAGGGAGAGAGCGCATGCGCACACAAGCAGGGGAAGGAGCAGAGGGGACAAGCAGACTGCACTGAGCATGGAGCCTGACATGGGGCTCGATCCCACGACCCTGAGATCATGACCTCAGTCAAAATCAAGAGTTGGAGACTTAACTAACTGAGCCACCCAGGTGCCCCTAGGGAATATTTTAAATGCACATCACTTCAAACTAGCAGTTCCACAGAATTCTAGGAATTTATCCTAGAGATGCTTAAAGGGTACTCATTACAACACTGTTTGTAAGAGCAGGCCAAACATACCAATTTATGTATTCTTGCTATTATGCACCCATTAACAATAAGGGATATATATATACACACACACATATATATATGAAATCTTCAAGTTATACTGTTAAACAAAATTGGTTAATATGTACAGTGTTCCGCTCTATGTATTAAAACGATCAAAACAATGAACAAGCTGAAGGGAGAGTATATGTACTCATACATGCACAGAATATTTCGCAAAACATACACCAACTGGGAAGGTGGAAGTATGGAAGGGAGGAGCCCTCACTTTTTACCTTTCATACGGTTTGATTTTACAAGTCTTGAAAACAAACACAAAAATTAAACATGTTCTAATAAAACAACAGAATAAACACCACTGATGGTTCTGATATATAGACAAGATTGGCATCCAGTGCTCAACAACTGCCTGTTCAGGATGGGGTGGGAGGGATGTGTGCCAACACTGCATAAGACAATGGCCTGCCCCAAAGGAGCCCTACTCTGGGGGCAGAGCCATCCCGCAACCAAGAACTCCTGCCCCTGATGCTAGAGAGCAGAGAGGAGCCTTCCCTGGTGGGGAGGGAGGGAGGGGTGTGAAGTTGCTGAGCTCTGAGCCTGCTGCAGCCTTGCTAGGTTCTTGTTCTCACTGTCCTCCTGTGAGGGATTTAAGCCGGTGTGACTCCTGGCCTGAGGAGCCACCTCACCCTATAACCATGGTGCTTCTGTGACTTGTACATAAAAATTCAGAAAAATAAAGGTGACTATTACAAAGGTGGATGGGCCTGGGGAGATGAGGGAAGCCAGGTAACTCTGTGGCTCCCCAGTTCCAATCTTAGCAGCTCATGTGGATTTCCTCACTTACAAAATGGGGATAATAACAGTACCTATTTCATGGGGTTGTTGTGAGAACTAAGTAAGTTACTGACAATAAAAACAATTTACATCTATTGAGTGTTTACTACATGCCAGGTACTGTTCTCAGAGCTCACAACAACCCTAGAAGGTAAGCATAGTTACTGTCTTGATTTTAAAGATGAAGAAATCAAGGCTCAGAAAGATTAAGTTACTTTGTTATATTGCAAATGACAGAACTGGGATTTAAATCCAGACAGTCGGGCTCTAGAGCCGCCAAAGAAGACTGCTTTCAAAGTTAGTGTCCAAGTAAAGCCAGTACTTGGCTTGTTGTAAGGGCTCGACATGAACTATTATCATGGGGAAGAAGGTGGGAAGGGTTTGCATGCGCTGACACGGAGCCTCCAGGTCCCCTCCCCAGTTAGCTTTCAGGTAGCACGACTTGCCCTCTTCTCCAGCCTGACTCTTGTCTACGAGGGGGGCTCTTGGGACAGACAGTTCTAGAGAAGCCTGGCTCAGCCATCCCAACGCCAACCTCATGGGACACAGAATATACCTCTCTACTGAGCGCTTAGGGAACTGATATGGACTATATCTAAACTCAAAACTCTCTTGAAGCTCTTTATGCCTAAGTCCAACTTACCTTTGGGAGTAAAGAACAGTTTAAGATGACTCATAAATTTTGGAAGAATTCTAAAATTCCCTCCTAGCTCTGGTGTCCTAGAGCTTGAGAAATGAATTACTTGCTCAGCTTCCAACCCCCTTTCACAGGTAATGACTTTAGTCTCTTCCTTTGCTGCCTAGACAGGCCACCCCACGTAACTCTTCCTCTGCTATGGGTTGTTTCCAGTTTGCACTGTCCTCCCCAGTAACCCCCCATTCCACATCTGAGGACATCTGGCAACAAAGCCCCAGGAGACCTATGATGATGACTTGGGAGGTCAGGGACTCCCCACCCAGCTACAAGCTCAGGACCTACATTTCTCAGCACCATTGTGGGGGTGGGCCTCCTCAGCCCTCTGACATCTGCTTTTGTTCCAGGTCTCCCTTCCACTGTGCTTGTCTCTAGGGGTGGAGACTCACCAGCACTGTTGGCCTCCGACTCCAGCAGATGGATGTCATTGCAGTCCGCCAGCGAGTGCTCCAGGCAGAGCTGCAGGAAGCGGGCCTGGGTGCGAGTGACCCGCTTCAGAAGTGACAGCAGGGCCACCGTCTGCTCACACTCATTCCAGCCCTTGAACCAGCCAGCGAGGATGCCCACCTGGTCTCGGAACATCATGGTGCCGGGCCTGGGGCCAGGGTGGAGGGGACGGCGGTGGCGAGGGCCAGCGCCGTCACATGGTCTCGGCTCGGGGCTCCTGTTACCTCTCCCCTGAGGGCCAGGGCTTGAGGACGTTCCCTGGCGTGGTGGCAACGGGCAGTGGGGGGAGGAGGAAACCTGCTCACATCGGGGGAGGTCTTGGTCCAGCCACACCTCTCCAGGCTCCTAGAAAAGGAAGCAAGGGGGTCAGACAGAATGAAAGGGCTGGAACTAGCGTGGTTAGTGGGGGTTGAGGGGGAAGGAGCCTTCATGCCTTCCTCTCTCAGGGTATCTGCTCTGCTGAGCCCCCGGGGAGAAAGATGAAGCCAATTACCAGATACTGAACCAAATTTCCTTCCAATCTCCAGATCCAGAGAAAAGGCTTGACTGGGATTCAGAGAGACTGAGGAGAAGATGTTGCCTAGCATGCCTGGCTGTCATGGGACCAAAGGAAGCAGAGTAAGTTGGTAGGATTTTCCAGAAATCGGAAATAGGAGAGGCTGCACACTACAGGGAAAGATCTGAATTAATGGAGACGTGGTCCCAGGTGACACATGACCCCCAGCACATGCCTTGACATTGCTGGTCTCTGGCCACCTCTTCTGAGAGTGGGAAAGAGTGACTGCTCACCTGCTAAGAGGACTCCATGGAGTTTATATTATTTCAGTCTAAGACTCACAAAGCTAAGATGTGAGTGGATGATGGGGTGGCAATCCCAGTGGAGATCTCAAGTATGCAGACGGCTAACTGATCAGTAACTGCCTCAGTGCCCATGGGTAGGGGCATGGACAAAGGCTTTTTCAAAGATTTCCAACAGGCTGGGGGATTCACCTCCTTCAACCCAACTCTGCCACTCTGGGAAAGGTGCAGCTCTGACCTCTAAGATCTCACTCGTCTCTGCTCTGAGGTGAGTTTCCCCCAGACCTCTTCTTCATTCCCCTGAAGGCTACTCCTGACCCAAGCCCCCTGGGTTGGGAAGTCCCCTTGGCTCCCAAAGATGCCAGACTGTCACCCAGACTCCTAAGAGCACAAAAGATGCCAACCTGAGAAGGGTCACATCCAAAGTAAAAAAACTCCCAAGCAAGAAAGTGTCCAAATTCCTCTCTTAGACAGGAACTACACAGGAGCTGTGTTAACTGGGCAGACAACAGGCCTATTCTTCAGCTGACTGATTTGTGGACACTACTCTGAAGCCTTTTTCTAAGTATCTTGAGCTCTAGGTCTCCACTCACATTTCCCTGTCTCTCCTGCAACCAGTGCCTTGGCTCTATCCCCAAACCACATTTGGCTCCATCTCCTTCTGGCTGCCAAAGGACTGAGAACTCCAGACAAAGACCCACTGAACCTGCTGGGCTCAGGTCTTAGGGAGCTACTGCCATCTCCCTGAACTTCCATGATCCCGCTGAAGAAGGCTGTGAGGTACATCTGAGGATGGCTGTGACTCACCTGGTAGATCCTCTGTGGGACACCTGAACAGATCAAACTGCCCCAGATGTCAATCCCTTTGGATATAAGGAAAAGTGTAGGGGAAAATGAAACCTTGTTCCAAGTTAAACAGACCTTTCAGGTATCTTTTTTTAAAGTTTATTTACCTTTTTATTAATCTCTACACTCAATGTGGGGCTTGAACTCATGACCTTGAGAGATCGAGATTTATACACTCTTCTGACTGACCCAGCCAGGTGCCCCCGGAAATCTTTTTTAAAAGGAAATCAAATGTTGCCTCCTGGCTTAAATCCTCCAAAGACTTCCCATTTCACTTAAGTGAAACCTAAACTAAACCTGAACGTATCATGGCCCACAGGGCCCTGCAAGACTCTTGTGGCCTCTCCAACCTCATCTTGTACCAAGTTTTCTTATTCACTGGAATTCTCTTCCCCCAAACCTACTTATGCTTGTCACTCAAGTCTCAACTCAATGTTACTTCCTCAGAGAGAGGTTCCCTGACCATCCAGTCTAAGGAGTCTGTCACACTAATGCTATTTCTTCTATATAATTTGACACCCTCAGGTATCACCTTATTTTTGTTGTTTCTTTCCACCAGAAAGCAAGCTATATAGTCACCCAGTGCCCAGAACAGTGACTAGTACATAGATGATGCTCAATATGTATTTGTTGAAAGAATGAATAAAGAAAATAAGCATGGAAGCCACACTTGAGATTGAGCCTTGCGGCGAGAAGATGATAGAAGGAATGGCTCACGGGATGGTAAACAGATTTAGAAACCTTGTCCTAAGAGAAAAATTTGAAGGCACTGAGGAAATTTCCCCAGGGGAAGAGAAGACTCAGAAGGAATGACATAACTGACTTCTAATATCTGAAGGGGTAGCACACAGAAGAGGAATTAGACTTGTTCTTTTACTCCAGAGGAGAACCAGGAAAAATAGCTGGAAGTGAGAGGTGACATGGGAAATGTTGAGTCAAGAAAATTAAGTTCCAGTCTTGCCCCAGACACTGATTCACTTTGATCTTTAAGCGAGTCTGCTTCCCTTCTCTGCAATGTGTAAGATAAGGAGCCAGACTGGATCAGACATGACAAATGGGTTTTACTTCACAGATTAGCTCCAAACGACTGGCAGTGGCTGCTTGGAGCACTGTGGTGAGAAGGATCCTGAAGAAATGAAGCAATATGAATACCCATCAAAGGGCAATAATAATAAACTGGGGACACACCTCACATGATGGGATATTGTGTAGCTATCAAAAACATGCTTGATCCCGACAGCAGAATACAAAAAACACAACTATATATAGTGTTTGATCTTTAACCACCAACCTGCAGGGATGATCAAAAGCTCCGTAGTAATATATACAATACAATGTCATTTTTGTAAAAAGAAAATAAAAGCCATACAAAAACCCTTATATATTATATCTCTATATGCACGTGTATAAAGAAATGCGTATAAGGACACATCCTGGGCTGTTCACATTGGTTACCATGGAGAGAAGAAGGAATTAACTCTCTTCATATAACTTTGTAGCATTTCACTAGTTGCAAGTAAACACATATTACTTTTGTAATTTTTAAATAATTTTATTTGAAAAAGTTTTCAGGTTGCATTCTACTTCCCAGCTCAGTGAGAAAGAACTGTGATTGATTATCAATGGTTGCCCTGAATGCAGGATGGATGAATGGTAGTTCACAGGCCTGAAAAAATCAGTCTCCTTTCCCAGCTCCAGCATTTTGTGGCTTTCAGCCCCACGGAGACAGCAGCTGCCTCAACATAAGGAAGAATTTTAAAATAATGTATCTGTCCAAGAAAGGAACTGGCTGCCATGTGAGGAGGTAATAAGCTCCCTGGCTGATGGAAGTGGTCAAGTGGAAGCTACATGAACATCCCTTGGGAGTGGGAGGGATTCCTTCACTGGGTGGCAACTCATAAGATAGAAGGACATGTTACTATTTCAGAGGGAACATTTGTGACGAGAGGTTTGATATGCCAACAGCATCTACGGCAAGAAGATGACCAAATCCACAAACAGAACAAAGTTGTGCACTGTCTTTCCCATGAACTTTTACTGGGTTGTTACTTTTCCTAAGCAACAGCACTGTGCCCCCCAAATAAGCTGCTGGCCAGCTTCTTCCCCCAAATAAGCAAAGCTGTAGGACAGAGCAGGGTCTCAAACATGACATTTAATAATAAGGCCAGGTTTTGAATGAAGCAGGCTGGTGAGGACTATGGTGAGTTGGAAAGCACATGCCCTGTCTAAAGGAAGAAGTCACTTATTTTAGCTCTAATCAACTGCTGCCATGGGGGAATTTGGGCTCAGTATTGTTAGGTCTTAGTTGTGTGTGTGTGTGTTTTTTGTTTTTTTTTTTTTTAAAGATTTTATTTATTTGACAGAGAGAAACATAGCGAGAGGGAACACAAGCAGGGGGAGTAGGAGAGGGAGAAGCAGGCTTCCCGCTGAACAGGGAGCCCGATGCGGGGCTCGATCCCAGGACCCTGGGACCATGACCTGAGCCGAAGGCAGACGCTTAACGACTGAGCCACCCAGGCGCCCCTTGTTTTTTTTTTTTAAGGAGGAACCAGAAATCAGGATTTTTAAATAAAATTCCCCTATTTTTTTTTTTTTTAAAGATTTTTATTTATTTATTTAACAGAGAGAGAGATAGCGAGAGCAGGAACACAAGCAGGAGGAGTGGGAGAGGGAGAAGCAGGCCTCCCGCCAAGCAGGGAGCCCGATGTGGGACTCGATCCCAGGACCCTGGGATCATGACCTGAGCCGAAGGCAGACGCTTAACGACTGAGCCACCCAGGCGCCCTAAAATTCCCCTATTTTTAAATGTTGGAAACAAATTCACATTAAAACAGCAACAATGAACCACTATAAGGAACAAACAAAGCTTGTGGCCTGCGGTCCTTGGAATAGATGGACACAAACTGTGAAAAGACCAGGAGTCTGCTAACTATCCTTCCCTCAGGCCTCTCTGGTTTATACCTTCAAACCACCCAGCTGCTCGGGAACATGACTGGCAGAGAGGATCTAATGCCCAACAATGGCTCTGACAATCCTCAGTAAACACTGGGGGCTTTAGAGAAACAGTCACTTTTAGGACAGAAGAAGGATCCTGGGTGTTTGGTCTGGATGGTGACTGGAGGGGAGGACTGTATGGCCTTCTTCCATCGAAGGGCCAGAGGTCCCAGCTACCTCCTGTCCTGGGTGCTTGGCAGCAATGAGAAGGGAAGGCCTGGGTTGGTACGATGGGCCAGGAAAGAGGCATCAGCACTGACTATTCCAAGGCTCTTTACTGTGATGGATTCTGGTGGATCTGCTTACCAAACATCCATTCCCAACTTCTGGTACCTTTGGAAAATTAACTGTCTACCTTGGCTCCAGGAATAGACATAGAAAATCTACTGGCCAAGGAAAGTCTTCACTGGATTCCTGCTGGAACTACTGGGGAAAATAAGTTCTCTATCAGAGTTACTCAGATATACATCTCCTGATGTTACTGGCTGCCACTTCTGCTCCCTCACAGGGAGAGCCTGTCTCAGAATGAAGCTAACACAGATGAAAGCAGAGTCAAGAGATAAGGGGACAAAGAAGGAGACCTGTTCACATTTGAAGACCTGGATCAAATCCAGCTAGCCTGAAGCCTCTCACTCCAGACTTTTCAGTTATATGGACCAATAAATACCTTTTGGGCTAAGGACAGTTTGAGTTGTGTTTCTA